TAACTATCTACTATTGGATTCAACATCTGTTGAATTCAGTGTTAAACAGTATTCAACAGTGTTGAAAAAGTGTTGAAAAAGGGTTTAAAAAAGCGTTGAACAACTGTTTAACAAAAGTCAACACTGTTGAACTTAAATTCAACACTTTTACAGATCCTTTCAGCGATTCCAGCTTTGCGGGACTTTCCAGCTTAGCCCTCCCCTTGTTGCTCCTTAACGTATCTATTTAGTAGTATTTGTTTCACCTACTCTAAACCCCCGTTTGGAGTTTTCGAACACGCACACTTGCGCCATACGATACCGGTACCAGTACTGGAACCGCACAATTCTCGCGACATAAAGAGAGCCAAACTTCTCTTTGCAATGGCTACTGGTAGCTGGCTAGAAGTACTGTACGCTGTCCCCGCCTGGGAATATCTTACCATCCTTGGCTGCTTGGCTCGACGAGTACCGTGCCCCCGTCTCGTTCTTCAAGCAACACACTAGAATCACATGCAGTACGGTAGGTGAATTCGATACTTTAGCGTCTAGTTCATTATAGGTTTGGCTATGGCTAGCCAGCTTGCGGTTTCCTCACTGTCTCTCCAGTGCGTCAGCGGTGGGCTACCGGTATCACCCATTGCTTATCGCAAGCAATTCAACTGTTTGGCTTTGATTGGCGGCCCTGGAGGCGCTTGTTGCCCGCTTGGTAGTGGGCAACAGGCGCCTTTCCTTTTTGATATCCGGGCGCCCCCTCTGTTGGTTTCATCGCCGACCAAGATTGGTTCGTTTGGCAGTGGAGCAAGCTGGCTGTTTTCGCTCAAGTAAGAAATGAAGAATGCAGGAGTCTTCTTGGCTTCACACAAAGAATGGAAGCAGATTACCCAACCTGAGAAAGGACCCTTTTTTCTTTGGTGAGGATGGTGTATCCTCCCGGCTTTTCTCAGGCTTGGTTGGGACGAGGATCTCCATCACTTCCACAATATCCCGCTGTGTAGACTTCTCCTCTCTGGCCCACCCAGTTTCATGTGTGCTGGTTTCATCCAAAGACGAGGACGAACAGCTGGAGCAACTCGTATCCGTCATGTCTTCCGTGTCACCACTTCTACTGGTATCATCATCATCTTTGACAACAGCACTCTTCTTGCTGTTAGCTTCCTCCAAGTACACTCTCAAGGCTTCCTGTTCATCCCGAAGCCCCAACTCACGGGCACGATCCGAGCAGTCGAGGCTCTGATCGGATGCAAACATGCCCAATCCAGTGGGATCGTCATGGAAGAGCATCTTGTAAAAGTAGACGACTTGTTGCGAATGAGTGCGTCGCACCTTTTTGCGTGGTCGTCGGTCCTGATAGTGTTCCAAGCCTCTCCAATGAACCTTGTTGGGCAGCAGACCTTCCTTGATGCTGGTGCGATGAGCCTTGATCATGGCACACAGTTCATGCTGCAACAGTGTCAATTCATCCGCTTGATACCAAATCTGGTGGCAGTTTTCCGGTGTCACTTGGGAAACAAAGCATTCGACCTGGCGGGTATCATCAAAGCACACTTGCTTTTTGGTGGTGCTCGTCATTGCCTTCTTCTTGTTGTTCTTCTGAACAATGCTGCTGGCCTTGTTGTTCTTGGGGCTGCAGTGTGCTGGAACGGTTGGCTTGCACATGGCTGATTATTTAGTTTTAGCAATTGAAAGTTTCTGTGCTTTGGATTTTATGACAAGAAGAGAGTTGGATGTTAGTGAAATGTTGCCAAACATCCGTCCGTATGTTGACTGAAGCCTAGTACAGTATGATTCGATTCTTACCTTTCGACGAAGGCCTGAAGCAATGCTACATGTACCCTATTAGCATAGCCCACTAGGCGCATGAATATCGGCACAGAAACCTATTGCTCGCCTTCGTTTATTGATGGCAAGGGCCTTTTAGACCAAGATTTCTTTTCCCAAGATCCTAACATCCTAACATTGCCTGGTCGTAGCATTTTGGGATGCACCTAACGACATCCAAGGCGATCCTATTTGGAAACGATGAAGCTTTGGAAGCTTTCGGAAACGCAGAGCTGCCTGGAACTCTTCTTCAATGATCGAATCAGAATCCGGTCAGTGTTGTTGCCGTGGCTACCCGTACCGGTGTTGGTGTAGCGGCAAACGCTGAATTAACAGGTGTTTTGCTGGTACCTATCCTATTACTCTTCTACCTGCAGCATTACAGTACCATGAAGCATCAGGATTTAGTAGAGCCTTCCCAATAGATTGCGCTGTTTTAGGGATCAGGGCTCCCTACAGTCATTGTAATGTTTCATTAGCAAAGAGGTCATGGCTCTAATTCTCTTACCGTTTGTTTATAATCGGTTGATTCTACCAATCACTAGATAAATCAACTGGACAACTACATAAAGCTTTCGTTTTAAATACAGGGTCAGTTGTATTATCTTTGCCTCAACAATTCGGAATGTGTGTTTCAAATAAACCAAGATAACGGTAGTGGGCAGTACCTGGGTTCCAAGAACGTTTTGAAGGGTGCTGAGCAGGAAGCCACAAGAACAGTGAGATGGTGCGTCTTGCCGAGGCGTGGAACTTACCAGCACAGCTCCAAGCTTCCAAAGCTCCAAACACGCCTTTACTCACAGCAGTCACAGCAACAGCAACAGCAACGTGGACGAAGTGCAAGAATCAATAATCAACCCATCGTCGCTGTACCGTTTTGTTACTGCAGTCGAGCCAACGAGCGAACTGTGGATGGCCCACGCCAGTGCCGGTTTGAACAACAACAGTGAGACGAAGGATCGAGTTGTTGCTCTCTTGCCTGCCATTATAATAGAATAGATCCGCTGTGCACCCATGAACCGCATCATGACGACCCGCACCTTTCCCATTCATGTGGCTGCGGATTCCTGTCCCAAGAGGGCAAGTAACGACAAGGCCAAAAGTGCCGTCCGCTTTGCTCCTCCCAGTGCCAACGTCGTGGTGGCACCCGACAAGCCCTATTCAGCTTTAGAAAAGCGTTCGATGTGGTACACATTCAAGGAACTGCAATCACGACACCGCAGCGACGTGGACGAAGTCAAACGATTCCAATCCGACACTTCCACGAAACAACGACACAGCCTCTTGCCACTGCACCAACAAGACAACGGCCCAGACAACAAGAACAACACGATCAGTTGGCGAGGATTGGAACACGTCGTGGCCGACGCAAACAACAACAATTCGAGTGCACATCACCACAAATTGAAGCCCTCCCGCAGCGACCGCGTCAAGGAAACCGTCCGACAAATTGTGCAGTACCACAAACAAGCCGTCGCCAAGGGACTTCCACTACTCAATGAAGAACTGCGGCAGTTATCCCAACACAAAACCAAGGCCGATCGACAACGCGCCGAACGATGGGCGCTCCAGGATGCCAATGATATTGGTATCAAAATGAGAACATTGGCATGCCATCATTCTACGACACTGCGGGCTGTGGGCAAGGTCATGAGTCCGACGCGACAAATGAAAAAAGTATCGCACAAACTAGTCTCCAAATTGCCCGTATTGCCGTGGGGTCAATAATATAAACTAAAAAGAAAATTGACTAAATAAAAAAGAGTACACAATCAATCTACATTTTCATTGGCTGCTAGCTGGCTAGCTGTCTTGATTTTCCAAAAAGTTTCAAGGCTCAACACTATCGGCGGGAGAGCACAAGCAAGGGTAGCCCAGGGCTTGGGCTCCTTTGGATACAGCAAGCATGAATGGACTGCCAAACCAGCACACCGGTACTTGACCTCGCCACCCAAGCAAACAACGAATTATTTGGCTACTAGCTGGCTTGAAGATAGAGGCACCCGGGGATTAACCTACAATGAACGACAGTGAGTGTGATCGTTACGACCGGTTGAACCCACGATGATGCTGTGATCCTTACCCCCACGAAGCCTTTCTGTTCATGGTCTGGGATTTTAGTACCTGCTCAACAGATTCTCGTGTTGTCGCTTTCGGTTCCTGGTTAGTTGGTCTTGAACTTTGGTTAGCTACGTGCACAGATGATGGGGGGCGACGACTTTCAAGCCCCACCGGTCCAAGCAAGTTGCCTATGGTAAAGCAACCTACCGTGTTCCTTGTCGTTGTCAAATGCATTGCGGCCAGTACGGCACTGCACTGTACGGTACGAATGAGGACAACTTCCAATGCGATCCCCAATGCGGATGTACAAACAAAAGATCTTACTTGCGTTCGTGCCGACCAAGAGAATTATCCAATTGGTCAGCCAACAAACTTTCATGCGAGGCAAAGTGTACTTCGCGGCTGCTTCCACCTGCCTCTCAGAGACGTGCGAAGAATGCCAACAAGCAAGGCAGATGGTGCCAACCAGGACGTCGAATGTCGTCTCGTCGATCGTGTTGGGCGCGATACTTCACTACGAGAGTCCTTACGGAGCTACGCTTGGAGAGTTCATTTATTAGGCATTCGTATAATAAGTATCCTCTTGCAGCTCAGTGGTAGCAACAGCGCGGCTACCCACAAGGTCTTTGGTTGCCATCCAAAGGTACGATTACGAACCAGGACCGCTTTGTGACCTTTCGCACAAATACGCAACGAAAACACTTACTTGAGCAGTTGTTCCGCCATGCAGCCATCCACCTGCTTGGCGCAACAAAGCATGCTACTAGGCAGTGACTTGTGCTTCAAAAAGACTACCAGTAGCTACCTACCGTGATCGTTCGTATTTATCCCATCGTGATTCTCTGCGTGCCCGGAGAAACATACATGCAAGCAGAGTACGGGTTGGCTGTTGCCGCAAGACCAGTGGCCAATGCCATGCATGCTAATAACTCAGGCTTGAAGAACGTCAACCCGAAGTAGTGTAAATTTCAGAAGCTAACCCACCAAATGTACCGTAGCTGCCAACAAGCTCATTAGTCGTGATGATGTATGTGATATGATGATTTTTCGCGGCCCCGGCTGCTCTATGGTACGAGACGTTGCGGCACTGCACCATTCTGCAAACTTGAATGCTGCGCAAGGAATCTGGCCGCAAGACGACTCGACTCGAGTTGGATATTGAAGGCTAAACCCACCAGATTGACAGAATGAAAGGTGCTGGTTGGCTGACATGAGAGTTTGATATACTTACTACTTCCGTTGGTACCGGGTACATGTACCGGTACAGTGCTGGTTGATGATCTCTGTTCCAAGTCTTCGAGGCATCATCATCTTTTTCGACAAAATGTGCAGCCAATGCGACCCCCCGGAGCACGGAATTTTAGTGCAAATTTTAACCCTTTTATAACTTCATGAGAGCACTCTTTTAGTCAAGCATGTTTGGCGCGTATCGCCACAAACCTCCACTTAGACTAAAACGGTCGACACTCAGCGCCGCAGAACAGGCTGGCCACTTTTTCTCGAGGAGAGTGGCCCCATCAAATTTTCGACCGAACCTGCTTTGGAACGGTTCATCGACCCACCATTCTTCGAGTGAGTGTGCCTCAAGCCGCCAACAGCCGAGATCTTGGATGCCTGCTGGATCCAACAGACAAATCTCACAATCTCATTCATCCAAAAGTCTACACGACTTACCCGAACACAACCAACTATCCATCCATCATCCTTGTAGTGTAGCAAGTTTAGCCATGGGTATCAAGCTTCGTAAACGTCGGGGTGACCGGGAATCGCCATCTTCTGCCACCAACAGTCGGCGAAGCAGCAGTGACACATCCCCATTGGTGGCAGTAGCAACGGATCAATCCACTTCGGCAGTGCGAGTTCGGGCCAAGTCAATCTGCAACTCGACCAACCTGGACCAACTGCATCTGGAACGACGACAATTAACTGCTTCGATTTCGTGCACGTCGATACCATCGCTGGCAGGCACTGCTAGCCGCTCGCTAGATGAAGACCCTTGGAGCGAGAAGAATGTGCAGGCTGCCATTGACCTTTGGGAACTGACGGATGAGCAGGTGGATAGACTCAAGGAACTCCAGCTCAACTTGAAGGATTGTTCTCACCACTTCAAGTACGATCCTCATATTATCTTGCGATATATGACCAGTCCGTTGGGACACGACGCCGAACCACTCTTTCGCAAGATGGTTCAGTGGAGGGAAGACAACAACATTGACAATATGCTCCACGAGTACAACCCTCCTCAGATCCTGTTGGACTACAACACAGCCGCCATTCTCAAGGATTACGACCGAGAAGGCGACCCCATTTATGTGGAACGAGGAGGAGCCACGGATGGCCACGGCTTTCTCAAACGCTTTACCCGCGATGAACTCATGGAGTTCATGATCTACACTCGCGAGCTGAATACACAAGGCTATTGGATAGATGAGTACGAGAGAAGACAGGGTAGAAAGGTCAGGGATGTGACAGGTAAGTGAAGGATAGTCATCTGTGCAGGAGATTTGGTTCTCTCAGTGCAATGTATAGCAACATCTCGCTCACATCTCGCTTTTTCCTGCAGTTGTCTACGACCTGAAGGGACTCAATTCGCACCACTTGAGCCCACAAGTTCTGCAATTCTTCAAGGACGTTCAGTCCATGAATCAGGAAAGATACCCTGGCCCCATTAAGCGCATGATCATCATTCGGGCCCCTGCCATCTTTCGGGTTTGCTGGAACGTTGTCAAGCACTTTTTCCCACCATCGTCTCGGAAGAAGATGATCTTTGCTGGCAAGCATTATCACAAGGACCTAGAAAAGTACATAGATCTGGAAGTCCTCCCACCATGTATCTGGGAAGGCGGCAAGGGAGAGCCTGCCCCAGGGCTCCCACGGCGAATCGTAGGTGGCCCCATTCCAGATCATGTCCGGCGAGATGATCAGCCACAGACGACCATTGTGTCGACACCACCGCCACCGACCAAGCCACTCCAAACGAACGATTCTTTTGAAGGGACCGAGCAAGGGTCTTTGGCTTCCAGAGCCGAAAGTGACACATCAGACATGGCCACATCATTTTAGTTGGAGAGATTGGTTGATTGATTGTTTCATGAAGTTTGATTTGATAGAATGATTGAAAGAACGCATGCATAGCGCCCGGTGCTGACTGTTTCAGCAACTGTCCATGTTGTATCTGTCTGCGACGGGATACAGCTTACAATTCAGCTTTACAGCTTTACAATTAGCAGGCTTATTCTAGAAATAATCAATAACTGCTACTTATTTGGAAATACAAATTTACATCTCTTAGATCGTTAGATTAATCATGCACAATGGTATTGTCGATGGTAGCATGCGAGGTTATGAGATGTTACTCATTCTATTTCTTATAGTCTATCCCCTATGGTTGTCAATGGAATGTGCTACTCCTTGATGCAGACTGCTCCTGATGAGTTTCCTCTTGCATTCTCATCGATAGTCCTCCCCTTTATTGCAACTCACTCCCTTGGATTCGCTCGAAAGCAACCCTCTTGTTCTTACTCTTGTCGTCGATCGAAATCGCGTATACGATGTACTCCTAAGAAATCCACCTTTTTATCCTATTGACGATCGTAATCTCAATGAGGATCCTATTATCTCTTTCACAGTAGCCACTACTGGTACTGCACGTTCGCTGCAACTGTTACTACTACTGTTATCTCTATCACCGGTAGAGCCTTGCCTCAACCTCCTCTCCGTCGCATCGATCGATCGATCCGAGTTAACAGAGTTAACAGAATTCATCGAAAAATGGCTCCGACTGCATATGTAAGAGCTGTTGTGTGTCATGCATTGGGTCATGCTTTGCGAGCAATTTCGCCCTCTTTGCGAGCCATTTCACCATTTATTATCGGTTTGAATTGTGCTGAGTCATGCTTGCATTATGTCTTCGAAGCTTTATCTCACTTTTTCATTAACTCGACGGAGACGCAACCGACAACGAGACAACAAGAACAACAACAACACGAGCGACCGATCGCTCCGTGTATGTGTGCATGGTGCACTACGCTAAAAAGCTAGTGTAAAGATCTTTCGAGTGTTTTGAGTTTGAGAGAATGAAAGTTATGAGAGGATTAGAAAGCTATGAAAACTAATCAACGAGAGAGATCCACATCAAAGGATCGTAGATCTGAACTCCCGCGGAGACTGTAGAGTGTGATAGAAGTAGGTTGCGGTAGCAATCCTACTCACTCCACGATCCAAAACGGAACGCGTGGAAGATTCGTCTAGCATTTATCTAGTAGGTGGAATCTCTCCACGCCAGCTAAATATCTAGCGCGATGTTTCACCATCGACCTAGTATGACTAGCGGTCATGAGA